CTGAAGGATCTGATGATTTTTTTTAATATTCTTTATTTATGATATATGCATAATTTTGTATGAATACATATGTGTGTGTTTGCGTTTTATGTGTGTATATGCTTGGTATATAAAGCACCTTTGGAGACGCGCGGGCCTAATTTGCGTGCGTACTCCAGCTCGCGGGCCACCTTTTAATAAAACCCAGGTAGCAGCGCACCAGGCTTTCTCGTGCGATTATGCGATTTTGCGCTAAACGATTCAGTCAGATCATTTGGTTGGTTGTTACTGTACAGTTTAATATGTACAACTTATGCACTTGTGTTTTGGCCTTTTCTTGCATGCGGATGAAAAACCGTCGGCTGGGACGATAGTGTTGCATCATGGCTCTCTCTGTTGCTGAGTTGAAAGTAGGTGACAAAGTTCAATCACTTCCGAACACACATAGATACACACACACACACACAAATATGCTCTCGACGTTATGCGTTTTTTACATTTGCATAAGATGCAAAGTACATAAAAACAGATAATTTTTCACCAGTTTGTTCATTCAGTTAAAAAAGTAATCAAAAGCAGATTAATGTGAGTTGTAGGCTTGAACTTTTGGCACAAGATTGTTGAAATCTGGGTTGATATCACTGACACAGAGTCTCAAAGCATTTTCCGAACTGTCATCTGTTAGCCTTGTGCGTATTTTAGTTTTTTTTTTTTTTCATGAATGCTGAGACGTGTCGGAGTACAAACACCTCTCCCCTCCGTTCGTCTTGTAAGGCATCAGATTCCGATTTGTTCCACGAGCTGGATTAAAAGCGGTCGCGGGCCGGATTCGGCCCGTAGGTCAGCGGATCCCCATATGCGCCATATAATGTTGTTTGAGTTTTTGTGCTGAATAAAGGTTTTTTTTGATAGTGCCAGGTACAACAGTGCCTCATAGATTGCGTTTATTATGCCTAGCATAATTATGAAATAGAAAGGTATATTAACAACGGTTGAAATAAGAAGAATCAAAAAGAAAGGTGGGAAAGAGAATTACGAAAAATTAGTAAAAAATTATTGTAACGGTAAGAAGTGTTTCGGTCCACTAAGTCGTATGAAAAGTTCACATATCTACAGCTTTTTTTAGTATTTAATAAAAATAAGGTATAGAATGACTTATGGACTGGATTAATATGTATGTATGTTTGCGAGTAATTACTTGTACTATGTGAAACTTTCTGTTTGTCTACGATTCATTCATTCGTTTGTGTGGTAAATTGATACTGGTTAGGGAGTCAAATTCTCTGTCACATTATAATTAATTGCTTTTTCATGATATTCCACAAACCAGTGATTTTTAAAATGAGTTTTTCACCTTTTTTCGATCCTTATTTTACAAATTTTACCCTGAAGGTAACTTTTGGGCAGTACTTCCCCTTTCCTTCTCCTTTCATTTAACTTTTTCACATGCCAATCTGTTTTTGTAAATATGCGTCACAACAATCTTGACCTTTTTTATTTCCCTTTCTTCGCTACTTCATTGAATTCTGGACGGCCACCGTCCTCCCTATGGTTATTCCTATTGCATGTAGGGTTGGTCTGACCCTTGCCGGTCGATACCCTGCGCTGAATGGACCTTTGTTCCTGGCTCTGGTTACCACCCTCTTCCATTCCCTCACAGGGCCTTTGAGTCCCGTGCTGCCTTTTACTTTAAGTATAAGTTAATCTCTCCGCCTTTTGGGAATTTTTTTCATACATCATCTTTCGACACATGTCAGTAGCAGCACAATCCCTTCTAGGGGATTTTCCTCCGTTCATTCATTCCGTGTATAAATGCAATGGAATAGGAAGATTCAACTTACACCTAAATG